ACTTTCCCCCCTCTATGGCAGTTGGGTTCATATAAAAGGTAAATCTGCTAAAATGCCCTTTCAAGATTCCTATGAACACAACACAAGAACGGCGTTTTAAAAGGGCAAAAATGGAAAGGACAAAGCACATTATCAAAAGAAAAAAAAAAAAAAAAACAAACATAAATTAAAGGATTCATACAAATACATACCAGAATCTTCAAAGCAGTCCCACAAATTAATGAAAGGGTAGTTTGGGGATTTAAAAATATTTTACAAGTGCATACGGTCAAATGAAATCTTTTTCAAAGTTAACGGACAGAGTGCTAACAGCAAGGTTCAAAATATCGATACATGCCGGTACACTATTGGTACTATTTTTTATGTGTTTTTTTTATTTTTTTCGAAACTGATTCAAAGGGGCCAATTTAAGGCCGGTCTACCCTATGAACCATTTGCTGACCCAAAACATCCCCTGTAGGGACATATCGGAAAGGCTCCAATATAAGCAGATACGTGATAAAATTTTGATCCTTGGCTAACAGAAGGGGGCAAAGTATTTGAATCTGATTTTTTTTTTTTTATAGAATCAGGAAATGCTACACAAGACAGGGAGTAGCACGACCTCATAAAGTTAGGGTGCAATACGAGGACTTCCTAGGAGGTCCTGAAATTTTTCAGGAGAGTCTTTGTTGCAAATGAAGTTTGGAGGTAGCAATCTATAATTTATCCTTTTGATTTCAATTTACCTATGACTTATCATTTTATTAGGAAAAAAAATTACCTTACCATCAACCCAAATGGTTGAACTGCTGTTCCATTTGACCTGTTCATCGAATTGTTAGATTTTCATAGAGCACAATATTCGCTCCTACCATGGTAAAGCGCCCGACCACCTCTTGGTTTTTATATAAAATTTCTCTGACTCAGTTTGGAAAAAGTATAAATACAAATTTGTATAATATAAATACATACAAAATACAAGATTTTACATTATATATTTATATTTGTACTCTTTTCAAACTGAACCTAAATGTTAAATCCTAAATCCTAAACTCCTAAATTTTTAAACCTTAATTTTCGACTGAAAAATGCATTTGATTGGACACATTTCCTCCATAAAACCAATAATTTTTCACTTTTCATTTATTATTATTATTATTATTATTATTATTATTATTATTATTATTATTATTATTATTATTATTATTATTATTGCGCTATCACAAGTTGATCCATTGACCCAAATGATTGAATTGATGATACATCCACCTGATACAATCTCCGGGTCATGTTCTAAAACATTGAATATATATATGATTTTCTACACAATAAATAAACAAATCTTTAAATGTGTTGTTTATTGATTATTAGTTTGCTAAATAATCAAATATTCAAATTCATACTCGGTAGGTCACCTACCTACCCACTACATGGCCGGATTGGACATCAACCACTTCGCCAGATCTTTGGGGAGGGCTCCGTTCCAGCTCTCTGATGATCTGACCATAACCATGGGTCAGGAGTGGTGAGGTGGACTCGTGGATGTATGGCCCGCTCGGTTCCATACAGACTCAAACCCTATTAACTTGCATTGGTTCCGGGTCATGTTGGAATTGGACCCAATTATGGTTGGGTCCTAAATTTGTGGGCCCACACGACCTCGAAATCGGGTCGGGTCAGGTGGGGTTCAAGTCTGGTTGAGCATTTTGAAATCATTTCGAATTGGATTGGCAAAGGCTGAATGCTAAGTGTTGATCCACAGGTCAGATAGGTTAATGGTTCAACTGTCTGAATGAGTTAGTTTTTGATCAAGTCAATAATTTTTTTATTAAAAATGTGGATTTATTTGTTCGATTCAAATAATTTAAATGGTCCGATCCTTTGGGCCAACATGGTTTGAAAATAGGTGACTCGTAGCCCAACCCAATGTAATCCGACCCAAGACTTCTTTGGATCGGGTCAGGCACCCTTCTACATCGGGTCACTGCATAGGGGACCCTGACCCATTTTTTCGGGTTGGGTCGACCTTTTGCCGGTCCATGAGCTGCAAAACTTATTGTATATTAGCAAATAGCATTCCTCAATTTTTATTTCTTAATTATAACCTCTATTCCATTGAGAAAAGGTTGGCATCTCTCTCTCTCTCGTCAAAGTCTTCCTTCTAAGACAGACATGATCGTTTCCCCCAAATCCCGGGCGACCTTTAACTCTAGACAAAAGCAAGTGTTTTTTGTTTGGAGAATGTGCAGAATTCCAATATGACCCAAACAAACTCCAACTCCAACTCAAAGAGTAAAGCTAGAGAAATTGAGGAAAACTATGAGTTGAGAGTTGATAGAGCCCACAGAAGAAGACCCACCACTCCTTATCCTTATTTCCTTCTCCTTTCGTACCAAACGTCGACCCAGCTTGTTCTTCACAGCTTTTGAGACGGACTTGACTCCTCCATAGGTTCTGTCCTAAGTGGTAAGTCACCTAAGTTGCTTTTAAGACAGTCTCCGCCATCTCCTCAGACACCCTATTCAAGGAAACAAACATAAATCTCACATCACCAACTCAATACCATTGAGAGTACTCTAACTTCTCATGCCTCTTCAAGTTGATTGGAACAAGCTATACTTGTTTTCTCAAATAATTAAAGTAATGCAAATTTATTTTTTTATTTATTTAAGCAGGAAGCAGATGGAATTCAATCGTACAAGCTGAGTGGAGGAGTCAAAAACTTGAGTCATAGATTCCATGTCCATGTCATTCTGCAAATAAACTATAATTAGTTTAGTCCATTTAATGTTTTCTTTTATTTATTTTAAGAAGTTGGTTTTCTAATGGACCAAGTAAGAGGAATCCATCCAATCTAAACCGTCCATCAAATAGGGGACCCATCACTAAATTGATCACATAATCAACCCCATATCATCTATATACTTGTTCAAAGACTTACTTCGAGCTCCAAACTGATTTGCCCACATAGAAGATTTTTGGGTGGTTTAGTGAATGCTTGATAAACAAACTACCCAATCAACCAACCTTCTCTCTTACTTGTCATAAATATATAATATTGTGACTCGGTCTAGTGAACACTATTGATCCTCTCTGTCAGTCTGCCTTGATTTGGCTCTACGATTTCTTTGTATCCAAAACATTTATTTATTTACTCATCATTTTTGTTAGTACAGTTTTCAATTAAAAAAGACTAGGGTTGTGATAAGTGGGTGCAATTTAGACCTGAGAAATGCCACAAAAAAACAAGTAATGAAGTTGACCAAATTTGATGTTTGCTGCTTTTTTGTTGTTCCCGAAGCCAAATTATAAATAATTAGGGTTAAACAAAGGGTATTCACTCACAAGTTTCCTGTTGGATTTACTAATCAAATAGTTTATAGTATGTCCACTAATTGCTGCTGTTGTTGTTGTTATTGCGTGTGTGTGTGCGTGTAACTTAATACATTATGCTTTAGATGTGTTCTTTAGACTTTTGGTTGTCCTTTTGACTCACAGCCACAGCCTTTTCTTGGTTCTATAGACCTCTCTCTCTCTCTTGTTTATATTTCATAAAATTTGCTTGATATGGCATGAATGTGATCAAACAACTAGGTCCAAATAGATTAAGACCTTGTAAACTTTAGCATAAAATGCATACAAAACCCATTTACCCAAAATACAAACAAACAAACTGTGGTCAACTGCTATGGTCCTAGCATGTATAAAGCTATGGCAATGTGGCTTATAGTGGGTTTTGAGGGGGAGATATACCCACCTTCTCTTCTTTAAACCCTTCTTTTTCTTCTTTAGATTTCACAAAATTTGCTTGATATGGCTTGAATGTGATCAAACTAGTAGCCCCAAACAGATCACGACCTTGTAAAATTTAGCACAAATGCATGAAAAGTAAACCCATTTAAAGAGAGAGAGAGAAAGACATTCAAGCTGTGGTCAACTGCTATGGTCCTAGAATGTATATATATAGCTGTGAGATCTGGCTTATTGTAATGGATTTTGAGGAGGAGATATATATATACCCACTTTCTCTTTAGATTTCACAAAAATTTGCTTGATATGGCTTGAATGTGATCAAACAAGTAGGCCCAAACAGATCAAGACCTTGTAAAGTTGAGCACAAATGCATGAAAATTAAACCCATTTACCCAAAAAGAAGAGAGAAACATTCAAGCTGTGGTCAACTGCTAAGCCTAAGGTCCTAGCATGTATGAGCTAAGACCATGTGGCATATGGGTTTTGAGGGGGAAGGAGATATACCCACTTGGGGTTTTGGGGTTTCATGGCAGCAGAAGAGACAAACATAACACGGTTCCAATTTTGACTTACAGGGCCCCTATTGCATTACCCTCCTGTAATAGGATTTTCGTTGTGGGGTTGCTCCCATATTACAAGACACAACTGTTTAAGCCAATATCTTGTTCAGTTAGTCTTTTTCTATTCAGCTAGAGACCATCTAACTGCTCCGTTTGAAAATATTGAAGCAGACAAGAATTCCCAAGGAATTTGATAGATTTGATTTGCATAGAATACGGAAAACACATGCACCCCATCTAAACATTTCAGATAACAACAGCCAACTTCTGTTCGAATTCAAATTTTCGAGACTCCCCATGGCCAAAACATCCAAGTTACGTTGTTATTCTCTCGTTCTTTTTTATTTACAAATTTCCTTTTCCTTGGTAGAACTTGTTGATTGCTCTATCCAGCCATTTAGTTGACGTTTACTAGAATCTGAACCTCTGTAGCTATGTTCAGAAAAAAGTGAATGAACAGAGAGAGAGAGAGAGAGAGGGGAGACTACAATCATTTCGGAAATTTGGGAGAAAAAAGCAGCTACAAACCATTGCAAAGTATTAAAAAAAATAGTAATTAAGTACCCATGTGACAGAGTATCTTCAAATTAACCCATTCTTTGTTCTCTTCTCATAAATTGAAGGACATGAGGATAAAAGAAAATTGATCAAAAGTGGGTGAAAAAAAAATGAAAGAATTCCATTTAGAAATGAATGACATCTGCAACAAACACCCTTTTTCCTTCTCTCCACAATCAAATCACAGGCTTTAAGAGTCACCCCCACTCTTTCACACATTCACTCAAACCAAGAACCTCACTTCTTCAGCTTCCATTCTCCCTTTCTGTCTCTAGTCTCCTGACATTCCTCTGTCCCTCCCTCTCATTCTTTTATCGCCTCTCAAGTCTCAACTCACTCAAGTCTCACCCACATCCCTCTGGCATTCCTCTGTCCCTCTCTCTCATTCTTTGCTGCTTCCTGACTCACTCAACCACGAACCACGTCTCCCTCCTTACTTCCTGCAATGTTCACCACCAAAACTTCTGATAAACCCTTCAAAGTGGAAGAAACCGGGTTGGCTCAAATGGGTTTTACTCTAATCCAGTCTAACACATCTCCCTCCCAACCAGGCGAGAGGAGAGGCCGTCGGAAGCAGGCGGAGCCTGGGCGGTTTCTGGGCGTGAGGCGCCGGCCGTGGGGGCGATACGCCGCTGAGATCAGAGACCCGACAACCAAGGAGAGGCACTGGCTGGGGACCTTCGACACTGCTCATGAAGCAGCTCTTGCGTATGACAGGGCTGCCCTTTCAATGAAAGGCACCCAAGCTAGAACCAACTTCATCTACTCCGGCAACACCACCTTTCATTCTCTTCTCACACCTTTTGATGCTCAAGCCTTCTTACCACAATCTCAGCTCCAGCTCCTGACCAGCCCTCAGTCTCAGACCAAACAACCCACCATTGAACAGAGCTGCCCATATCAGCTCAACCCGAATGAGGCTCCCATCCAATCCAATCAGGACACGTGTAACACTACTTCGGCTTCAAATGAATCTGCGTTGGATGATAACTTCTTCTTCTCTGCTGACTCGGGCTCAGGCTACTTGGGGAGCATCATCCCTGAGAGTTGCTTGAGACCTCCTTCAAAGACCACAGATTTGAGCTCTGAAAAGAGTGGTTTCACTGGTTGTTCGGACGCTCAGACCTTCTGTTCGACCAACTCAGTTTTCAGCGGCTCTCCTCCAGAGGTTCAGTCTCACTACAACAACAGCAACAATGGAGCTCCTGTTGATACATTTGGTGGGTCAGCAAATGTTTTGAACTCTGGGAATTTTCCTTACATGGACGGGCTTAATGAAGGCTTCTGGGCTGATGACCAGTTGTTTGATCTATCTTCCTGTGGGCTTGCTACCGCCATCGACAACAAACCTCTAATGCTGGAAGATGGGTGCATGGGAGCTCTGAGTCCTTTCATGGAGAATACTGGAAACGGGTTCATGTCTCAGCCTACTACTCATTCAGAAATCTACAACACTCCACTTCCTCCTTTCAGTGATGTAATAGACTTGGGATACTCACTCTTTTGAGGACTACTCGGAGCTCTTCTTGAAGCTTGAAGTAAGCATAAAGCACCGTAGTTTGTCATTATCTTTTTGCCTTTCTCTGCAACTATTCTGCTACTGTAATTACACTGTAGAGTTGTAGACGTCCAAAACTCAAAAAGTTGAGAGAAAAAGAGAGAATGTTTTGGAACTAATCTTTTCTAGTTTCGATTCTTCTTTCAGGTCCAATAAAGTTTTTCTGGTAAGAACGAAGGCTCCATTTGGCAACCTTCACAAAAGCAAATCATGTTAGCTAGCTATGACTACTGACCCACTTTTCTGGGTTCTTGTTCTTGTGATTTTCTCAGAACCCAAGCCATACAAAGGATTTCTGAAAATGGAAGAAAGCCAGATGGTTTTGTGCTTCACAAACAGGCTTATTTTCTATATCATGATGAGCTGATACATTTTGCATGTATTTATTATTAACCTTTTTCTTTCTCTTGTTTCAATCAGTAATTTTATGTATCAATCTCTTTTGCTTAATGTAGTCATTGCTTTGGAGATGATAGAGGATTTTCAGTAGTAGAGATCTTACTGATGATCCATCAACCTGTGCCATATATGCATGCAGAAAAGGTGGATCCATCATCCACCATTAATGGATGGAACACAGGTAGAGAGATTAGAATGACCTCACCCACTGATGTTTTGATGTTTCAAAAGAATGTGATAGACACGATTGTCAGGTCATATCAAATTTGATGTTTCAAACGAATGTGATAGACACTGATTCAGATTTTTAACCATCCAAAGAGGGTGACGGTGGATTGGTAAGGGTTTACAGCAGGGGTCTAGGGTTCACACGACTAGGATGGGCTGGGCTGGGCTGGGCTCCCATTTATATTGGGTGGGCCTGATGACATTGGCGATGCATGGTCCATCTAAGTGGCTCTATTTCCAAGGGTCCGTTTGGTTTATAGGAATAGGGATCTGGAATCGGAGTCGGAATGGTCCATTCTGAATCAACTGTTTGATTGGGCGGAATCTGAATCCCATTTCCATTCTTCGCGTGGGAATGAAAATCCATTCCAGGCTATTCTGATTTTGATTCAGATTCCAAACTAAACCAAACAAGTGAGAAATAGACCATTCCGATTCCGATTCAGACTGTGAACCAAACGGATCTTAAGTGATTCCAAATGACAACAGTTACTTGGTCCTGACCGTCTGATGAAAATGATCACAAGGAACTTTCATGGTTTATTGGGTTATTACGAGGATTTTATTGTCATTTCAGGTCATTCCTCTCAAGAGCCCACTCCACTTTCAGCGGAAGATAGTAGGGTAATGAAAGCAGGAAACAGAACCCTACAGCTACACGGTTAGATGACCTCAAAAGCCAAAGTACGGTCTGAAAAGCATTGAAGCCTTCACGTTTCCTAGGACCATGATATCTTTTCTTATTGACCCCATCCATCCACAAGGTCATTTGACAGTCATCGTCAAGTGGGCCTTGATAATTTGATGGGCTTTGCATGTTCGAACTATCAGGCCATTCTTCCCTCCTTCAAAGAATAGCTTTGGGTCATCTGCATTTGAACTCGAAGGAATTTGTATTCGAGCCCACATCCGCTTCCAAAGGGTGGACAAGAAAATCAGGGGGTATAGAGACAAGTGTTAGGTCAGGTACAAAAGAAAGTAAGACAGGCTACCGTGGAACTCGGATTCAGTTCTCACAAAATGGTGCTCACACTGTATTCACAGCCACTTGCAGTCTCAGTCACGTATTGAGAATATTTCCATACTTGTATGTTTTTCATTCATAAGAGATATTCCCAATGGTGTTTGTGAGCACTGAAACCGATCTTGCTACCATAGATGCACCCTGATACATCAGATGGTACACATTGGATGTTTTGAGTTTCGACCACACTTTTTTTTCAACAATTAGTCTGGAGTTGGTCTTAGGCCTGTGTACCCCTGAAATTGGTCAAAACCCCAAAAGCCCTGTTTGGGTGATCTGTCGATAGTTTGCGAAATTTTGATCCTTGCTAGCAAAGAGTGTATTAATGTCCCTGGGAGGTTTATTCCAACAAAAGTTTTATTAGTTCAACAACACCTCCAACCACAGCAGCAGAGATTCCCAAGGAGATTGCAAACTGGCGCACCAATGCTGTGGGTGTGAAGAGTTGGCAGCCTGGTCACTGCTCGTTTGATCAAGTTGGCCTGCTTCAGAAACCTCAAGGAAATTTGACCAGCAAAGGTTCACATTCCTTATGATTGAGTCCGGTTGAGCCCGGAGCTCCTGCAAGCAAGAACTCAATGCACACAGCATCCAGCCACACATTTGGAATATCTCATGTACATGTACCTCAAAATTCACAGGGGAGTTGTTCCTAATGTGCAGAGTTTTTACTTGCAGGAGATCCCATCGCAATCTAGTTCCCATAACGGAGATGAAACAGGACTGCTGCTAGGGGGTGCAACTTGGCCGGGCTCAACCCGAGCCTTGACTGACCCAGCCTGAAATTTTACATGGGCTGGGCTTGGGTTTTGGTCCGGGTGCTGGGCCTTGGCCCAAAAAAATTCAGGCTTTCTATCCTTGGGTTGGGTTGGGTTGGGTTGGGTTGGGCCCGAGTGCATCAAACTTCATGTGAGCTGGAATCGGGTTGGAAAGTTCGAGCTTGACATCAGGCTTGGGCCAGGCTCGGGCTTTAGGCCCAATTCTTAGGGTTCGGCCTGGGTTGAGATTAAACCCAGCCCACCCCTCCCAACTTGCACCCCTAACTGAGCTGGTTAATCTGCTTTCAAGTGCTTGGGATAAAGACCTATTTATGAGGTATTTTATTACTGGCGTGGAACGTTGTAATTGGTTCCACAGCCGGCTGAACAGCCATCTCCTTCAGCTAAACCTTGTTCAAATTTGCCATTGCTGTCTGTGCTCAAATTCCACTTAGAACTTGACAACATCAATCTCACAATTTCTAACCGGTTCATCATAATAGAGTGTCTGTTTCGTCTCAAAAGTTTGTAGTCGGTTTGACTGTTTGACTTCAAAAAATAAAATAAAAATAATCTGTTTAGTTTATGGATCAAACACATCCATCCATGGTTTTAACTTTTAAAAACGAAAGAATCTTTTTCCAAAACATCTTGACTTCATGTATTTGGTGCAAATTTTCTATATTTATCAAAAATAATAAATTATATACCATAAATACAAAACAAGAAAAGTATTAATAAAAATCATAGGAGTTTCAAAAAGAAAAAACAAGGATTCAGATGGAATTATATTACATAAAAGAAAATCATTTCAGGCCAAGGATCGAAAATAATCGAAATTTCCAAGAGTTGTCATTTTAGTAAGTATATCTTAACAATTTCATGGAACTAATACCTAAAAAAGAACTTCATTGAATTAAATCATTTCCATTTTTCTTAACCACCACAAATCTCTATTTTAGATAACCACGTTGCGGGCCCAGAAACTAAGCTGATCTTTTTTCTCCACAAAATGAATTGTAACTTTTTTTGGCAGAATTTTCAGATTCCCCCACCTCACAAATTTTTATCTGAATGCACAACTGAGAATAATGACAATGCGAGGAAATCTGACACAATACAAGGAATTGTGCCTAGCCACACTAAGCAACCATCATAGGACATTAGCAAGGAGCTTCTCAACTACACAATTCAGGTCACAGAATATACAGGTACCAACTCCAACTGGCTCGGCAAGGTCTCTGGCTGGTTGTAGCGGAGACTTGGGATCGAATCCCGTCTTCACCAGGGTTTGGGGGTATGGCCATATGGGTTTGGGGGATGGGCTACCCCAGGTTGTATAGACACATGGAAGTCGGAACCTATAAAAAAAAAAAAAACTTTAGCAACAGCCGCTGAAAAAAACAGCAGAATTTGTTCTCTTGTATGTAGTGCAACTGCCAAAATATACCACACATTTGGGAAAAATTGTACCGTTTCAAGTGGGTCCCCCAATTGTCCCAATAGGTGGGTCCATCTGACCAATACTCCGGATGTGGTAATAGATTATTAAAATTTACAAGAGAAAAATTTGTAGTTTTGGCATTGATCATGCTAAAAAAAGTTGCTTAAAACCATACTACATTGGTGGAGAAGAATTAAGGACCAAGTTTCTGCAATGTCAAAGGGCTTCCACATTTTTTTGTAGTACGTAAATATACAAGCCCTTGTCAAGCAATGCAAGTCTCAGCACATACCCATGTAATTTGTCTCATGTTGCAGAACTGAGACGCATCTTGACTCTCTAAAGTTACTTTTCAAAATAAACCCCTGGACAAAAAGGGGAAGGGGAGCAAGATCACCTTTCAATCCCTTTCTAAGCTTTGGCATTAAGCTTAGAACAACCAAACAGAATGCTCAGTTCCCAAATTCAACAGACCAGAAGAAAATGAAAAACAAAGAAAAGGATAAACATATTGTTAAAAGAAAGACAAAACAAAGTTGGACTTGTCCTTTCCGCTTCGAAAAGGACAGAGCATAAATAAACACAATGGACTCGATTATAGGAGGGATGCGAGTTTTTCTTGATCATAGGAGCTTCTTGTCATGGTTATTAGAATTGCTATATAGGAATGCTATACCTTTCAGCAATGGCTATAGCTTATTCAAGATGAGAAGTTGGCCATATAAAGATCACATAATGCGCATTTTGGCCAATACAAAGATCATATGGACACAAGGTTGATGAAACTTAATGTGGACTATCGACTGGATTGTTGATGGGAACTTGGTGACTGACAATTGAAGCTTATATCCAGAAAGTGCTGAATGTATAATGGGCTCTGGGGTTCAAGAACAATGAACGTAGTGAGGCTCATGAAATTTGACCCAGAAGAGGAATAATGAGAATTGGGATTTGGCTTGATCAGCTTGAACCATGAACCTCACTGCCATGCCCTGTGCCAGTAGAAGCAGAATTCTGACTAGACAGTTGGACAGTAGAATGAGGGACAGATCCACCCCTTGAGAAAATTGAACCAATTGAGCCACTGGAAGTGTTCTCAGAAGTAGGCATTCTGGTTGAGAAAGAATCTTTTGATCCTGAAATGAATTCGGGCCTTGTTTCCGAGGAGGAAGAAGATGGGGCAAGAGTAGCTAGTGAAGACCCAACTGGGTAAGGAGCAACTGGCATATCTGCAAGAGAAGATGCAGATGGGCTGTAACTGAGACTCCCCATCGGATGATCAAATTTGCATGTAGGTCCAAACTTGCATACTCCATGTTGCGTATAGAAAGTGCAAGGCTGAGCACCCTGTTAATCAAGTAAGAAGCTCAGGTTCAGTATACTGACAGCAATCAATCTTTAAATACAAAAGATCACAACATTTACTAAAAAGGAAAAAAATGAGACTAACAAGAATAAAAGTTTAAACAACCAGATAAAAGAACAAGAATCCCAGGTTGCGCTAAAGAAGCAGTTCATGCATAGATGTGAAGATAGAACACTTAAAGACACAAGTAAAAGGATTATCCAAATCCAGGAAACAACAAAAGAAAAAGACAAGGATGATAAGAATCCAAAAGAAAAAGTGCATGCCTCAGTTATTTCCAACAATTAAAAAACATGAATTGCATCATGATGGAAGACACAGTGTAAGGGCACAAGGCAATGGAAATAACACATAAGTGAAAGATTTTCATGTAAGTAGCAATTACATTCTATAATTTCAGTATATCAGAGAGCACATCTCTCTCTATTCCAGTATACCAGAGACAACTTCCACCAAGAAATTTAAATTCATTGTGCCACGACTGGTCTTTCTTGTGAATGACCAAGCTATCTCAACCCATGCCACTGGACATCACAATTACCCATTAAGGTCTATGTTACATTGAATTTAGGGGTGGCACACTGGATCTCTGCATTAGAAGAATCGGTGCTATCCCTATGGATTTCATATAGCAGGTTGGCAAGCAGTTGCTGGTTTTGTGCAGCACAGAACACATACCTCTCTTGCTTCAAGTGTCTTGGAAAGAGGAATAATAAAAATCAACCTTGATTTGACACTTTTTAAGCAATCAAATGCCATCAGGGGTGGGAAGTATTTTTAGAAATCATTAAATTATACTGCTCAGTTTTTCAGGTCCAGAAAAAGATGAAAACTCTCTTAGAACCAAACTAAAGCCCATTACCCAATGTTGGTCCCAGCTATCTGAGGTCTTGGGCAGTGATTTAAAAGGCCCGCCTGAGGTGCATTTTGGGGTATGTGCCTTGCCCATGTCCTAGGCGCACCCCTTTCAAAAGGCGCACACCTGGTGCACCTAGGCATGCGCCTGATGTGTCTTTGCGCCTCAGCCCAGGTATGCGCCTTTTTAAAATTTTGCGCTTTTTGTTTTTTTTTGAGTTTAACAGCTGGGCCGGGGGCTCCGCCCCCGGACCCCAACCACATCTCTCGAGGCAAGCCCGAACAAGTTTATGTTAGGGTATGAAATTCTTATTTCTCACGTAAAAAATAATGATTTTATAACTTTCATTGCCTTTTAAGAAGATATTTTATTACAATGAATGAACAACATTAGCAAATAGGGGGTTCTCGGAGCTTCAGTGATGCAATAAAATATCTTCTTAAAAGGCAATGAAAGTTATAAAATCATTATTTTTTTATATGAGAAATAAGAATTTCAGACCCTAACACAGACTTGTTCGGGCTTGCCTCGAGGGGCGTGGTACAAAGGCGACTCATAGAATCAAGAATGCAATATGTTTTACATCACATTAACTACTTGAAGCAATGCAATTAAGGAAAAAAAAAAAAGATTGTGGGTTTTACATGCTTGGAAATGCTTTATATGTTTGCTTTTATTTTTAAATTTTCATTTGAATACGCTTTACATGTTATGTTTATGTATTTTAATTTTAGATAATAGGTTTTTAAAACTTATTTTAAAATTTAAGTTCATATTTTTTATTAACATTACGTTTAATATTTTTTGCATTTTTTGGCATTTTTTTTGTAATTTTGCGCCTCAGGCACAAATTGGCCCTTGTGCTTTTTTTGCGCCTTGCGCTTTTAAAACACTAATCTTGGGAGGGGTTGACTGGGTAAGGTCCTAATCTTTGGCATTTTTTCACACAAAGTGGCCGCCCTCAAGCTCGAACCTGCATTCTCACACTTGCCAGCCTGAGATCTTACCATTACACTAAGTAACAACCCCTTCTCTTAAAACCAAATTGTTGGCACTTATTCAAGGTCTTGCTCTGGCTTCCTTGTCTGGTTGGAATGGTTTAGTTAGTCATATAAGTTCACAGCCTAGTGGCTGGACTACTGGCTGGATATATTCAATGGAGAAAGGCTCTGGACATTTCTGATTTCTTATCAGAGAGGTAAAAGCACTAGTATCGGGCTTTGGGTAGCTATATGCTGGTTGTCAGTTTTTTACAGTTTCTTCACTGCATTTGATTATGCTGTAGAAAGATTGAAGAGAGACCATGTTGATAGGTGTTTTATATGTTAAATTGTCATTTCTTTTGTGTTTATCTTTTGATTCCTGTACTTTGTATATTTCTCATTCAGTACCCTAGAAGGGCCCTTTCTTGTAATCATGCATAATGCATAACTCAGGCTTAACAATACTTTTGTCCATTTGGGGCGGGGTCATTCTCAGATATATAGAGACACCCCATACAACTTGTGTCGTTATTCCTCTTCTACATACAGAAATCAAGAGTAAACCTTGACGGTTTGACCTGATTACATCAGTCAAGGTTACATATGCCATGTAATGTTTTACCCCCCACTATTGTTATGGCATTGAAAAGCAGAGCTAATACTTCCTAAACATGTGACTGATAAGAAAAGTTTCACTGAATACTTCCTAGTCATGGCTCCCATCCATCTCAACACCTTCATCCATGTTCATTCTATCTGCTTCACAGAGTAGCTGGTCTTTTAGCATTTTTTATGAAACACTTTAGTTCAGTTATTGGAGGTTGGATTGCTATTGCAATATCTACTTCCCATCATGACGTGACCTCTTGTAAATGTTTTCAATCCCACCCCATGTTAATGGGTTTTCTCTGGGTATGGCATGTATTTCATCAATAATTGGAGGAGTTTCCATAAGTGGAAAGGTGGTTGAAATATTTCTCTGGTAGCCTATCCAACAGCATATAGCATAGAAAGGAATCATCTTTAATCTGAAGAATAGCAGTAGCTGACTGGGTGGTGTCTTTTCTGTCAAATCTTGGTAAGGTTCATTGATTGGTCCAACAGTGTTTTCATTCCCAATGAAGTGGATATGAGAAGCCAATGTTTCTTCTAAAGTGGCTTCCATCTTCTGTGTTATTTCTATTGCCAACAAACACAAGGCTAACAAATAATAGGAAAAAAAAAAACAACAGCACAAACAACCAGACCTCATAACAAGAACAAATCAGAGGACAGACTGAAATTTGTAGTGGCATTATAAGATAAAAAACTGTTCAAATACAAATCAATAACAGAAACAGAAGAAAGAAGACAAACCACTAGTTAACCATAGACAGAAACCCAAAACACCAAACTAAGCAGATTTAAGTTGGTAGAAGACGACAGGAAAAATAAACAAGAATTTCAGTAGAAGAAACAATAGACAGAAACCCAATAGGGATGATATTACATTAAAGTTCCTAAATATAACCTTTCCTTCTAAAATACCTATATTCCCCATACACATTACAATCTGGATAATCCAGCACAAAAACTTTCAAGACCAAGGAATAGAATGTTTGTGGTATTCTAAATGTGAGCGCAACAATGGCTTTCCAATTTTTTAAATCAGTAATTATTTGAATTTATTGATATGATTATATAGGGAATGTGTAATATACAACATGAGTGCCTAGTGCCCCATACTTGGCCATTCCCAAGCCGGTCACCCCATTCATTTACATACATCATGACCTTCTTGGGGGACACAATCTGATCTGTTGACCCTTGTTTCTCTAATACATCTGCCACCCCATTTACAATCCTCAGACTCTCAGGGCCCATTTAAAATATGTTCAAAGCTCTGCGGTAAAGTCATTCCAAAATTTTTCAAGACCAAGGAACAGGACCTTTGTGATATGCTAAATTTGAGAATATGCATATATATGTGTATATGGGAATGGTTTTGCTAGTCAAGTCAAGTAATAAACGACCTAGGAATTTTCTATGTGGAAAAGTTATCTCAAGCATAAAGAACATATTCATCATAATTCATAACACCTCTAGTCATGTGAGAAATGTCAGATTTGAAGACCAAGCTGCATGTCTGAAATAAACCCCTTTATGTTAGCAAGTTTTAGATTTGGAAACAGAAGCAATGGATGCCTAATAGTGACAGAAAAGGTCAGTAGAAGATGAATATGGGTTTATGTGGATTGTGAACAGAGGAGCATTGAACGTGCCCACTCAAAAGAGACAACTCAGCAAACATTCTGGATCAGCCACATTGTCCTTCCATGTGGGGAAACAAAAGACTAGGTCATGTACAGAAGCTCACACTACTTGACATCATTAGGACAAAACATCTAACAGGTCCCACTTTGAAGTTTAATTGACCCAAAATTCTGCCTGGTATTTTATCAAAAAATCGTGTTTTTGAAGCAAAGATTTGGCTGGTACAGTGTTATAAAAGCGCAAGGCACAAAAAAGGCACAAGGGCCATTTTGCGCCTGAGGCGCAAGGCAATGCACGCGCCTTTTTGAGGCAAGGCGCACAATTAAAAAAAAAAAGATAAAAATTCAAAAAAAAAATCAAAAAATTATAAAACATAATAGTAATAAAAATATAAACTTAAGTTTTAAAATAAATGTTTTAAAAAACCTATTATCTAAAATTAAAATACATAAATATAATATGTAAAGCATATTCAAATGAGAATTTAAAAATGAAATCAAACATATAAAACATTTTCAAGCATATAAAACCCACAATCTCTTTTTTTTCTCAATTGCATCAAGTAGCTAATGTGACATTACATTCCTGATTCTACGAGCCACCTTTGTGCCACGCCCCTCGAGGCGAGGCATATGGAAATGAAACAGTGTGGATTGTGGACTTCCAGATTCAAGATAAACCTTCAAGACTAGGAAGTAGATGACATGATTGAACTTCTAAAAGCTACCCCTGTCCGAGGATCTAGTGATGCAAGGACATGGCTGCGGGATATATCCCAAGCTTTCTCAGGTCCAATTAGTGTAGGAAACCCATTAAGAGCTGAGATTCTGGCTATAATGGAGGGAGTGCAAAAGGCAAAGGATATGAATGTGAAAAGGCTGATTATAGA